GTACCATGTCAGCGTGTGTCTGTGGGGCAGAGAGCCGCTCTGGAGCAGCCCTGACCGTAACCCCGAGCAGACCCCGCGTTTCCGGTGCCGGTGCCGGTGCCGGTGCCGGTGCCGGTGCCGGTGCCGGTGCCGGTGCCGGTGCCGGGCGGAGCGGGGCGGGGGAGGGCGGGCGGCGGCCCCGTCTGGCCGGGGTCCAGCACCCCCGGGCCGGGCCCGGCGGGCGGAGCCCCGGCACCGCATATAAGGGCGGCGGCGGCCGGCGGGGACACCCGTGCTGGGGCTGCCGACTCGGGGGTGACATCATGGTGCTGTCCGCCGCTGACAAGGCCAACGTCAAGGCCGCTTTCGGCAAAATCGGCGGCCAGGCCGAGGAATATGGCGCCGACGCCCTGGAGAGGTACAGTGGCTGTTCCCGGAGGGACCCTCTCTCCTCTCCAGCCCCGACTCCCTCGCATCTGCCCCCTCCTCTCCCCATCCGTCTGTCCTTTGCCGCCCTGTCTCACCTGTCTCTGCACCCCTCTGTTCTCCAGGATGTTCACCACCTACCCCCAGACCAAGACCTACTTCTCCCACTTCGACCTAAACAAGGGCTCTGCTCAGGTCAAGGGTCACGGCAAGAAGGTGGCGGCTGCACTGGTCGAAGCCGTCAACAACATCGATGACATTGCTGGTGCCCTCTCCAAGCTCAGCGACCTCCACGCCCAAAAACTCCGCGTGGACCCTGTCAACTTCAAAGTGAGTGTCTGGGAAGGGGTGACCAGCCCAGCCTCCCTCCTGCACCCCTTGGCTAACCCCTTGCCTCATTCCCTTGCTCACCACATCGTTTTGCCTTTCAGCTGCTGGGCCATTGCTTCCTGGTGGCGATAGCCACTCGCAGCCCCTCTCTCCTGACCCCAGAGGTCCACGCTTCCCTGGACAAGTTCCTGTGCGCCGTGGGCACTGTGCTGACTGCCAAGTACCGTTAAGACGTGTACCGTGGCCAGAGCTGGACCCAACACATCACCAGCCCTCTTGACAGCGAGCAGTCAAATGTTCTGAAATAAAATCTCTTGCATTTGTGCTCCAGCTCTGGTGTCCTGCTCTGTGCGCTGCCTGCGGGAAGGGAGCGGGGGGGATGTGCTCTGGGGCTCTGAACTGGAGGTCTCTCCACCAGCTGGGTACATGGAGGAAATGGGTTCTGGTTTTGCTGTCTCTGAGAGGAGGCAGCATCTGGGGGGTGGTGTCCAGCAGGCAGACGCTGCTTTGCTGCCCTGGGGCTCTGGGAGCAAACGGAGCATTTCTAGGCACCAGTGGAGGGGAGAGACTCATGGAAGATCTGAGGCTCCCTGCAGAATTCCACACTGGGATCCCCTCCTGCACCACCAGCCCCGTGCACCCATTTTCAGGACAGTGTTGGAGGGCTTCTCCTCCTGGAAATGTTTGCAGGAGACACAGGAGTACAGGGGCTCCTGGCAGCTGTGACCCTCTGCCTGGTAGCAGAGTGACAGCAGCCTGAGGACCTCCCTGTGCCAGGACATCTCTGCACACCCAGCACACAGGGCTGTGCAGTGGTGCAAGACTTCTTCTGTCTCCACCTAATGGTCCTTTGCTGGGGTGTCACTGCCGAGGGGTCCTGGGGAGCTGCAAGGGGAGCAGATGGGGCTCAGCTCCAGATCCAGCAGTGTGGGACAGTGTCAGGGCACGAAAAGGAGCCCAGGAGTTGTGCTGGTGTCCGCACCCCCCCAGCCCTTATCGCAGCCCGCAGCAGGGTGGCTGTGGTGGGGGGCTGATAAAGGAAAGTGTGGGCTCTCCTCCAGCTGTGGGTGTGGTGGGAGACTGGGCAGCAGATAGTCCCAGGAGGCTACAACCTGCCAGGTGCTGAGTAAGGGCTGGGAGGCCCTTAGTGAGGGGGGAAGGTTCAAGGAAGCCTCAGGGTGGCTCACAAAGCCAGACAAGGTTGCCACAGGCTCCTTTGATCCTTGGCACTGGCAAGCATGGGCTCTTCCCTAGTCCCACAGCCTCCAGGCACCATCAGTGAATGTACAGAGACAGGAGAAACTCCAATAACTCCAAAGAGAGAAGGAGGCCCTCCAGGATCTCTTGTGCAAAGCACCACAGGCATCATCATCCCACACGCCCACTGTTCCTGGGCTCAGGGAGGAGAAAGACAGTCTGGGCATCCCTGGCCAATCTGATCTACCTTTGGATAGAGCAGGTGCTGGAGCAGGTTCCACCCTTCCAGCCAGGAACATCACCCAGGCAGAGCTGTAGGCACAATTTCCTGGGGATCTCATGGAGAACCAGGATATGGTGGGGACTCAGGGCACCCCGGTGTGCAAGGAGGTGTGAACTGGTGGGGACAGCACTGGGAAGAGCCAGCCTCAAATCCAGCACGGACATGGGCTCCTCCAAACCCAGCCCCTGAGGGCTGTCATGGTCCCCAGCACGATGGGTATGCGAGATAAGTGTAAGAGCAATGTGGGGACAATGTGCATGTGAGGGGTGAAAGTTGTTCCCAACCTGCTTTAGCTTCTGCCTTCTCCCAGGCCGTGCTGTGACCTCAGGCAGGACACATCAGGTGGCCATGGGCAGTGTCCTGCCTCTGCAGCACTTTGCCGAGGTTCTGCCTGGCCGGAGAGCTGCTGAGCTCGTGTTGTCCCAGCCGTTTGTCCCTGCTGCCACAAGATGGGGACCTCAAGCCGTGGCGCTTTATCGGGGCCGGGCAGAGGGTGAGGGCTGGGAGGAGCGGGGCTCCCGAGTGCTCTGGGGACACTGCTGCCGGCTCGGAGCGGGGTGCAGGACCCCTCCCCATCATGTGCTGAGCTGAGAGTTCCAACCCCGGGCCCCCTCTGGCTCATAGCACAGGGGCTCCCTTCGCTGGGCATCCCTTGGTGGGTGGCCATGGCTTCGTGTGCCCCAGGACACACAGCCTGCCCCGCGGGACAGACACGCTGCCCACAGCTTGGCACTCCCCGAGCTGCCATCCCTGCATCCCTGGAACCCAGCAGTCCTGCTGTGGAGCAGAGCAGGTCAGGTATTTACCCCAGTGCTGGCCCAGGCTGGTTTTGCAGCTGGCATTGCTGCAGCTCCGGTGCTGAGGAGAGAGCTGGAGGCAACTTCTGCATTGCCACAGCAGAGCAGCCTGAAGCAGCCCCAGGTGACTCTGAGGAGGTGGATTTGGACACAAAGCCCCCTGATCCAGGCCATGGCAGCACTCAGGAAGCCAAATCACACCAGGCAGCTTCCACAGAAGAAAGAAGGTGTATATCTCCAGGCCATGGCTGTTTTGATGTCTCCACTCTCTGCAGGCTTCTCAGCTCTCATTTATCCTTGATGGACAAAGCAGCCGGGTTCAAAGATACCCCTAGAACAGCACAGTGTTCTGTTCTGTGGCGTCACCAAGGCAAGTGGCATCTCAGAGCTCATTTTTATTGAAATGACATCAGGAAATGAGCTTGATGGTAGAGATTTACCCAATCACAGGACTTCCACCAGTCTCTTGAGGGGCTGCAAACAGCATTGGCCAGATAGGTTTGATTCTAATCTTATTATGTTGGCTAGATAGTCATGTCCCTTCAGAGTGTGTCTAGGAAAGGGACACAGAAACACGTACTTCTGGAGGAGATCAAGCATCCTAGGGGAGTTTAACAGGAATTCTTGAATTTTCTATCTTCCCAGTAGCAAAGGGGATCTAGCAAACAAGCAGTGGGAAGATAGGGAATTAATTCTGCACTGGAAGCTGATCTCAGGAGACCAGCTGAGAGATCCTCTTGTTGGAATGAGGGAAATCGTGGTGTGTTTTACAAACTGTTCTTTTCTATACATCACATATTGGAATTCAATATGGCAATAGTGTAACCCATGAGTGGTGCAGCCAACAAGTCTTCTGCTTCTTTGCTGTGTGTTTTTTCTAACTCTTTCCTAAATGTCAGATTTTCCCTGCTGAAATGATCTCCCTGATTTGTCTGGACCCTTTTGAATTTTAAGCCAGTGCTTGCAGCTCCTCCAGCTCAAGAACTTTTGACAACTTAATAAGGACATTCTCCATTACAACACAAGTTATTGATGACAGAACAGTAAAGAATAATGGTAAACAAAGAACTGGAATCTGTCACGGAAGGAAAACAGACTCATCTGAAAGGATTCATTCTTGGCAATGGCCATGATTATTACTCATCTCTTTCTTTGATTAAAAGTCCCACTGTTTGTTGGGTTTTTTTGTTTGTTTTTTTTACTTGAAGCCAACTGGTTTGTAGTTCCTTGGTTTCCTCCTTTTACCCTGCTAATCACAGGAGATGGTCTGATTTCTGTGAACCCATCCCCTTCCCTCTTTTCCCAGAGATACTGGATGTTTGGAGGTGGCTTCCATCAGTTTTTGAGGTAAATGGTATTTTTTTTCAGGCAAGTGGTCTGCAAATAAGGAACAATTGAAATACGCTTTAATTCAAACTTTTTTGGAATCCTCCCACCTCCTCCACTGGCTGTTTCGCCAGTGGAAAAAAGGAAAAGTGGTAGAAGACAGAAAATGAGCATTGATTAGATTTTCACTACAAAGATGGAAATTGAATAGAAATGCAAAATCTTTCTTCCTGCTGGTTTCCCTGTCTTCCTACCACACAGCAACCACCTGGGAGATCTGATTTTGCTTGGAGCTGAGATGATAGGCAAGGCTCTGCTGGTGACATCCGTGCTTCCTCTCTCCCTGTGTTGTTTTTCTGTGTTTTTCAGCAGCAGGAGATGCCATCTGGGGAGGGCACAGCTCTGGTTGTGTTCCTCCAGCTCCCACACAAGCAGTAATAGCAATTCCAGAGGCTCCATTCCTGCCTGTTGCCTTCAGCATCTGTTTGCTGCTCACGAATTTGCTCTACCTTTTATAAACCTGCTGATCCTATTTGTTTCCACAACCTCCTGTGGCAGTGAGTTCCAGAAGTTCATTCTCCCACCTGCTCCAAATAAAATCCTTTTTATCCATTTTAAGTCAATCTACCAGACTGATCGATGGCCTCTAACTCTCATCATGCACCAGGTCTCTTTATGATTTTGTAGGGCTGGCATGTTTTTCTCCCCCTTCTCCAGAGAAAAATCCCAACCTCCCCAGAACTCCCTCATATTGCAGCTCCCCCATCCCTTTGATCTCAGGTGCCCTGCTCAGGGCTCGAAGTCCACAGTGTTCTTACATCCTGAGATGTTCTGTTGTGACAGGACAAGGGGTGATGATTTCAAACTAAGAGGTTCGATTTAGATTAGATATAAGGAAGAAGTTTTTCACAATGGAGGTGGTAAAACATTGGCACAGGTTACTCAGAGAGATTGGGGTGCTCCATCCCTGGAAACTTTCAAAACCAGGCTGGATGGGGCTCTAAGCAACCTGACCTAGTGGAAGCCATCCCTGCCCATGGCACAGGGGATGAATTAGACAACCTTTAAAAGTCCCTTCCAACCCAAATTGTTCCATGACTATAGCATTTTATGATCGGAGGTCAGACCTGCACAGATATGGGTGCACCAAGCTGTTAAACAACAGGCAGGAGGTCTCTCTTTCTCATTTTGCAAGCCCAAGCCCTTCCTGATGACATCAACATATTTTGTTGGTTTGTTTTTTTTCTGCACATCAAGCCTACAATTTTGGTAAACCATCAGTGAGGACTCCAGCATCTTCTTCCTGAGATGTAGTAGCCAGTATAAGTCCAGCCTCCTCTGTTTTAGATAATATTTCCCTATCTCTTTATCTACACTGAAAGGATTGACCTTCTGTTTTCCCATTTGTGAGTAAGGCAGAGAGCTGCACAGTGCAAAGTTCCACAGAGTACATCAAATATCCTTTCAGCAGTCTCCTGCAGTGATGGAGCATCATCTGACTGTTCTGTAAAAAACTAAAACTGTGCAACTGTAACAGCAGGGTTTTGGTCCCTAATCCTGGGGTACAGTTCTTCATTGTACTCTTCCTTCCCCTGTCAGAGTGACTTCAAGTCAGGCTGCTGGGGGGACACAATTCAATGAAGATCTAGCTGAAGATAGTTAAAAGAGAGAGTTTTCCAGTCAGTGCCACTTTTTTACTCCTTGCACTAGGATCAAACAGAG